TCCAGTATAAATATGATGAAAGTTCAGAAATCTGTAACTGGAGGGCACTTCTTCGTGTGAACTCTATTCGTGTGAGTGGATACGGTATGAAAACAACAGAGTCAAATTTGTGAATCTCAAAAATCTCGCGACAAGATTCTTCGAAGAGATTTGCATAAAGTTTTAGCGTGTTCAGGTAGATACATTAGCCATCGATCTAGAATACGGAGGAGCGCGTAGATATCAAAACGGATCCACTAGTACAGAATGAAACCGAGAGGGTAATATGGGGCCAGAAAGACAACTGACTTGAAGTTCGCTTATTAATCAATGTAGCCAACAGTCCAGACAAGACAGATTGAAGATTCAAACGCTGAAAGTCACCTTTTTGATGATTCGCATCTGATCGAATTTTCGGAAAATTTCTGCTTATTTTAGAATAGACTCAAGAGAGAAAGCCCGAGATACTGGAATTTCTGTCTAAACCTGTTGGCCGAGATGTCCGGCAATAAGCCTTGTGTGCCCCTGTAGGCTACACGCAGGATTTCCAGCAGCATGTACACGACATGTCACCCTGATTTCCGCCGCCACAAACGAGTTAAACTAGTGAAGATCGCAAACTCGATCTGGGCAGCAGAGCTGCCAAATATAGGGAACCGGGCGCTCGACGCTCATCTAAAATGGGACATACATCCGAGAATCCCAATTAGGCTGTTCATGTTCCTCGATTAATCTACGTTTCGGAAAATGTGTTCTGCGATGTTGAACCTGTGGTCGGGTTACCATCCGGGTCCCGCAGAGACCTAAGGTTAGGATAAGGGTGAGGTACAGAACAGCGTCGGTGACCATACCACCGACTGTGTGTAAATGTTGTATGCTGTACAGTACTGGGACATCCATCAGCCCTGTTTTGGTTTTTTTTCTCATAAACGAATGTTCCACCTCGGGCAGGGGGTCGTGGGAGTACCTGGCGAGGAGGTAGTGATAAGATTTTCATCCATGGTGTGGCTATACAGTACTATGTTAAAGTTCATTTGTTTGTACTAAATCACTTGTGGAATTAAATCCTGTTTTACAAGATCCTATATGCACGTGTGAACAAACAATTTTCTTCCTTCTCAGTTTTTACTCATGATATTTGGCTTGGTTTTTATACAGATATGTATTTAAAAAATATTTTTATGACTTTTATGTTTGGCAACGTATTCCTAATATCTCATGTACATTATTTTATATAGCTGTAAATTTGAAAGTCCCTCACTTGTTACACGATTCCTCGTTCATTGGGGAGAACACACTTTATTTCCTATCATATATATATATATATATATATCTTCCTAAATATATATATCTTTCTTCCTTACACGTATGATACGTAATTTTAATCTCAACACTAGGAACATGATTTTTCCAATTCAAATCAAAATTACGTGTATACTTGAATCAATTGGTAAAAATGTCTTCCAAACAAAACATAGAATAATATTTCATCATAATAAATTTACTACTTCCACATGTTTTGCTTAAAATATCAATTTATGCGCCAAATTTAATTCTCCTTGATATATATCCTAACCCAAATTAACATAAATGGTTAATTAAAAAAGAATAGTACCTTGATTAAAAAAGTAAAAAGTAATAAAACATGCTAAAAAACATGTATTGTATAATTATCAAGAAAATTTTATTTCTTAATTTAATGATATATTTAGAATTTAAAACTTAATTATCAGTCTTCAATATGTCTTTTATAGTATAAGAAATTATTTTAAAAAGTTTTTCGAAATTTTTTAATATTATTTTGAAGCAAAAATTTAGAGTTCTTATAAGGCACGAATTTACTTTACGTATTGGCAAAAAATTGAAAAAATTGAAAAGATTTGAAGGAAAAAACTTACACTATTTCTACTGAAAGTGATAAATAATTCAAATGAAATATCCTAAAAATATAATAAAAGCAAACAAAAAAAAATATCTATGCATTTAGACATAGATTGGAAAATTGAGTACATTTATAAAGTCTGTCTGTGAAACATGCATAATATGATAATGTCTTGGTTTTTATTTATGTGTTTATGTAATCATCAGTGTTTTTATATGTATCCCTTTATGAACTAAAAATTTAATAGAAGATCCATAATGAATATTTGGAAGAATAAAAAAAATCACGATTGGTATCTAGTGATTTATCAAACATTGAAGGGTGACATTCAAATTTAAGTTATATGCATGCATTTGGTACCAGTTGGCTACAGTTACAAGGAGATAAGAAAATGGGATAATAAGTTAAATAAAATCGTTACAATTAGAGATCTCGAATATCTCTTTAATAATTATATACATCTGTCACGAAATGATCGTTTAGTGTATTCTTCTTCCTGTTTGTTACATTGTCTAGTAATAATATTGAGCTCTGACGTTTTTTCATGACAAATACTTCCTTCCCACTGGCTGGAAGCGTTTTAGACCAATGTACCTGCATGGAAGATGACACTACGACATAAGCAAATCGCCGCATGGATCAGGATGATGTAACAATAGCATAAATCTAACAACTGATCGCATTATTTTCTAAAGCAGCAATTTCATGCTAAAATTGCCTCGAGTGTTTTAGTCATAAGAGAACGAAACCCTCGTGTGCGAGAGTTGACAATAAAATGATGTATTTGCCATTACGATGCACAAAATGGAGTGTTGAGATGTGTCATTCGTAGATGGTAGGTTAGATCACCGCAACGCCATCGCCCGACCAGTGTTGCACACCCTAAGCTTCATCTCTCGTATTTGTCCGTGTATGATGTAATCTCGGTGAGCTTACATTATATATTTATGCTTGGAAGCTTAAGGCGTGCATTAGATTTGCAATTGACACATCTAAGCATCAGTTTGCTCGGATCGTAATGGGAAAGACAACGTTTCGTCGTCAACCCCTGCACATGAAACTCACACCAGGTCTAAAATGTGTCGCCCATCGTCCGAATGTGCACAAGAAGATCTCGTGTAATGTGGTGGAAGCCAAATACTGGAGGTGGGCAGTCATTTCGATGCAGCCCGAAACATCATCGCCCCCTGGTGGGCAAGTCACCCTGTCAGTACTATATCCATTTTCCTTCCTCTTACAATCGGGCAGCCAACAGGACAGTACAAAAGAAATTCGTTCCAGTTGCGTAAATCTCTAGGGAACAATAGACGCGTAAAATGCCCAGATGCAATCGATGACCATACACCTGTCTGTCACAGTGTGAATCGCTGTCAGTGTGTGAAGTGAATGTGAAGAAAATTTTACTATTGGACTAGGGACAGGAGTCGTTGCGAGAGCGAAGGTTAGTGAGCAGTATGGGTTTACGTGTGGAGAAGACACGCAGTGCGGGGAAGCAGAGCCCCTCTTGCTCAGAAAGCTAACTGCGTCTGGGTCGAAGGTCGTCTCGACCCCGACTTGATGCCTTCAAAGGGGGTGGGGTACGGTAGACCCTACGAGAATCTGAAGTATTGTACGATCAGAGTCTACGAATTAGACGATACGACGGGGTCGATGCTTGCGTCAGAGTCGACACTTCGCTGCCAGTTTCCTTCCGGGAGAGGTACTCGATGGCAATTTCGATGTTTCCATGACCATCTGGAAAAAGTGCACGAACGCACTTCTGTTCCCTCCGATGCGCGCAAGAGGCACGACGAGTACAACGGAAACCTTCCTCCAACGAACTCTCAGCCTCATTATGTACGATGATGTAATATACGGTATATTATATACCTCGTAACCTCTCTCACTCGTTCCTGAGGCTCGAGGCCATTCTTTATGACTTTCGATCGTCTCGGGCATTTGTCGGTCCCCGACAAATGCTCGAAACCTTGCTGCTGAAACACGTACGCCGGTGAACAAGTGAGACCGATGTCGTTGATTAAACCCGGCGTCAATAAATTTTTTTTTTCAGAAGATCGAGGAGATCTCCATATCCGAATCGGGGGCCGAGTAAAACTAAGGCACCCGCAGGGGCCCCTTCCAGGCTTCGGACGCAGGATCGGGAGATCTCCGTTCCACAGTAGCTCGGATTGCGCACATGTTTTATTCATTGTGCGTTCGATTTCTGGCGAGACGTCGCAACACTAAGAGGAGCACACGGGAAGGAAGCCGGAACGCTCTGGGCGTATTCGAGCAGATGCTTCTTCCGAGTACACGTGTCGGCCGTGGATGCGATCACCATTAGCTGGATTGACCCGTGGTTAATAGCCGCTAAAGTAACATGTCTCCGTAGGTCTCAGCGTTTCGTACCTAGGAAAAATACTCGAATTCTGAGACTCTGAGATTCCATGCAATTTATTAATAAAGTTCATTAATTAATACCTTCTTACAGTAATGAGAATCATAAATCATGATGAGTTTCTGAATTAGAAAACTGTCTCTCGATAAACATCATTACCATCATCTTCCCCACCGGATTATTGAATTAGAAGGACGGCATAATCACAATTTTTTTATTAATTACATAAAAAACTTATAATGTTTGTATGATGTTAATAACTGATGCTTATTAGTGGTGGTTTAGAATCATATTAACTGTAGTGTGATATCTCGGACGATGAAAGGGGGAGAGGGGAAATATTGCTACTCTGATTTCCCGGCGAGTTACTGCCGAGGAGCAAGAAGTCGAGTTCGGCACGTGATGAGGTTAAGCATTGTGCCCCGGGGGCAGAGGAAATGATGACCTGGACGAATGAGAAGATGGGACGAGGCCCGGGAAGGAACCAGGGGTTGGTGGCGGGTTGGGATGCAGTAAGGCAGCAGGGGCAACAGAAGGCACGGCTGGCTTACGGGGTTGGAGCTTGACGACGCGGTCGAAAGGGACACGTGGGGTCCTTGCGCGTGACGGGCGAGGTGGCTCGGAGTGCCCTTTGTCGGGGGCTCGATGCGATTTCCGAGTGACAGTGAGAGAGAGCTGAGTAACTCTCTGTGAGCTGGACCGATCAATTGTCCATGGGGATGCTCTCATGGGGCGCTCGTATATAATGACTTCGGCCGCCTCTCTGATATCAGTGCGAGTAAATAGGAACACAGGCAGCAGAGTCAAGTAGCTCCCGTCGGCCGCATTCCCCCGCCCTCCCATCACATTCACTTTCCACACTCCTCTTAAGAAGGAGTCTCTCTGTGAGCCCAAACCGACCTCTCCACGAGCTCAGAGTTTGCACCTGAAGAAGAGAAAGAAAGTTCAATCCCGTGGTCAACCCCAGACATTAAAGCCTTTTGTTTATAGAGCGAGAGAAAGAGAAAGAGAGACATTGAGATTGAGATTGTGTCAGAGAAAAGAAATCGTGAGAGTATGACTTTGCGGTGACGAAGAGAGGGGACGGGAGGCGAGGCGAGGAGAGGCGAGGCGAGTCAATCTGGGTACTTTAGGAAGGTGCGTGGCTGAGGCAGAAGCAGGAGATTTGGAAGACGGGTTTCCGAAGAAAGGGAGGAGCATGATCATGTGCAAAAATCCTGTAGGGGTGTTAGGAGCAGGGGGGGAGAGCGAGCGCAATTTGAGAGTGTCTGAGTTTGACACACCAGCATATGTGCCAAGCGGTTACTTGCGCAATCAATACAATCAGCAGCTGTTGATGGCAGAGCAGAACAAACAGAATCAAGCGCAACAGCAGAGGAGAAGGTTCGAGAAGGCGAGCGCAGCCACTTCTCAGTCATTCTTGTCGGAATCGCCTCTCGATCAACCATGGTATTCTCAAAGCAGCTCAGGCAGTCAGACGTTCATGAATTCCGCCACTCCCAGCGATTTTAGCGCTCCCGCATTTAATTACAATCAGGCCTATGCGCAAAACTGGCAAGGATTGGCACCCGTCAGTGAAGCATCGCAGACTTGGAATTTGCGCGCCGAGGAGAGCACTGGAAGTGATTGGGGGCTCAGCTCGGATTCAGGCAAATCGTCCATACTTTCGACGAGTTTCACTCCGCGCCTCGAAGGTAATTTCCGCTTGCCCAGATTCAATCCCTTTTTCTTTTCTGTTTTTCTACTTTTCTCGAGATTGTCATTAGTTTGCGCCTTGCCAAAATGTAAGATGATGCGAGGATTCTGTTCGAGCTGCGAGCTTCTGGAGGAGAAATGTGAACCCCCGCTCGAAAAGTCTCGCAAGTAGCCAAAATTGCTCAGTCTAGACATGAATCCTGGTCTCCAATCTCGAGGAATTAGACGAGGGTCATCAGAATGTGTCTCTTCGGTCGCCCGACAGTTGCTTAGAGTCTTCGTCGTAGCGGTTAAGGAACCCCGGCATTCGAGAGGGCGTCGAGAAGAGTCGCGCTGAAGTATAGAGAGATTGGACAATGTCAACGCAGGAACTGCGCATCAAGCCTTGGGTCCTACGGCTCCTTAGAGATTAGAATGAGTTGTAGATTCATCGGCGTGAGAGTGTGGGAAAAGGATGTGGAAGTGGAGACTGATCGACCTGTTTTGTGAAAATGCTTTCAGAGTCCGAGAAGCCCGTGCCCGCCGAGGATTCGAGCGCAGCGAGCTACACAGAGGAGGCTCCGAAGCGCAAACGCTACAGAGGTGTGAGGCAGCGGCCGTGGGGCAAGTGGGCAGCGGAAATTCGCGACCCGAAGAAAGCAGCGCGAGTGTGGCTGGGAACCTTCGACACTCCGGAGGAGGCTGCGAGAGCGTACGACAGAGCTGCCATCAATTTCAGAGGGCTGAGGGCGAAGCTGAATTTCCAGGACTCTCGCGACGTTCTGGCGGTTTCCGGAGCCGCGACGCAGGCCGAAGCCAGCGCCAGCAGGAGGAGCCCCCCGAAATCCAAAGCCGCAGCTGCCATCGCCATCGCTGCCAGTCGAGCCGCTACTCCCGAGTCCGTCCTGGTGTCCAGAGCTCAGACTCAAAGCATTCCCCAACAAAGCCCGCCGCCCGCTCACCCGGAGCGCCTCGGAGTGGAGGAACCCGCTTACTATCCTTCGCAGATTTCGTATCCTGCTCATTTCCGATCTTCGACCGTGGGACAGCAGCAGCAGCTTCAGCTAGAGGAGCAGCGCAAGCAGTTGGAACAGCAGCGGATGCGGAAGAGTCAAGAGCTTCTCCAGGGGATTTTTTCCCAGTACATGAGCTCCGCGAGTCAGTCAATGAGTCTCTTGAGCAGCGGTGCCGGGCCAAGCTCTCACGGGAGCTCCGGTGATCACTCGAGCGCTCTGATGAGTTCTGGTGCTCACACCAGCACAATCATGACAACCGAGGCGACTCGTGACGACCGAGCCGCAAATCCTGCCGTCTGGATGCAGCAGCAGCAGTATGTGCAGGAGCAGCAACAAAGCAGCAGCTCGGCCAATGTTTTTCAAAATAGTCAGCATGAGTGGAATCCTGTCATGCAGCAGCAGCAACAACAACAACAGCAGCAGAGGCAAGTGCCGACGATGATGAATCAATTGGTCGACCAGCAACATCAGCAGCTCCTGTTCCAGAGAGATCAGCAACCCGCGCCTCAGGAATTGAGCTTCGAGCAGATTTTCGAGCAAGGCGGACCGAACGATTGGGGATTGATCGACCCGGTTGATCTGTGTGAGCTCAACAACAGCTCGGTGAAGGAGTTGACGGGCTTCAACGTGTGGAACATGTACCCACAACAAGATCGACCGGCGTCGTCCGGCTCATAGAAGTCAGGATTCGTGCTTGGATTAGTACAATTGCGCTTTGCGTCGTAGAGATGACGCGATTCGAGCGACCGATGTCCAGTTCCAGTTCCTACGCCAAGCGCCCATGGATTTTGTTCCGGCAGCTTTCTGATCTCTTCTGTTTATAAAACTTCTTCGATATTCTACCGCGCGCATTGGACTGCAGCTGGAGCTACAATTTTGACTAGCGATCACAGTAATATGGATTTGACATTCCAAAGCCATTGATCGACCATTGACCCTAGCCAGCCGGTTGCATCAGACCGACCGACGTTTCGATGGGCAGTTTTACGTTCCCTCGGCTGGGAACTGATTCATTCATCTCAGCAGGTCGAGAAACGTAGTGATAGGGTATATTTTCAGTTAGGAATTTGACGTAGATCATAGACGACCATTGAACTCTAGGCCCTGCGAGTTTTACATATTTGTAACATGAAATTAATTTTTTTCAACCCCGCCACATTTATTTCTTCCCATGTACGTTACTGTAATCTTCGTGCTCGTGCACACAGAGAGTTAATAAACCTTTTCTCGATGCATACGTTCTCTCTCTCCCCCTCTCAATATGAATTGCTCAGTCGAGCTTAGTCTTCCAGCGATCTCTCTCTATTCTGGCCTGCTGTTCAGTCCACTCACATATTCATGTTCATGTCTCGGTCTAGTCTGATTTGCTCTGCAGAGCCGAGCCGAGCCGAGGCTCTGCATTGCATTGCATAGATACTTGTTGCGTAAGGCCCATGCACACTTGGACGAGTCCGAGGTCGAAAAGTGGAGGGGACCTGGTTCGTTAGCAAGCTCTGTATGGCGTGCAGTTGCAGAGGAAGCAGTTGGGAAGCACCTCGCTCGGTGCACATGGAGCGACGAGGCGAGCGGGGCGGCTGGGTGCTCGAAGATGCGTGCTCCCACGGGGGCTAACGAGCACGAGACGAGACGAGACGAGACGGGTCGGGACGGGACTCAGGGACGACGTTCAGCTCAGCTCGGCTCAGCCCATGGGGAATGTTGTTTGACTGCTTGTGCTGCTCGCCAGATTATGGTGACCGAGTGGGGTCTACAGTTGTGTGAAAAGCAGCCAGCAAGAGGCCAACAATTGTGCCTACCGCCACAGCAGCGTAGGAGCACGAGTCCTACGCTGCTGCTGCTGTGAACCATTTACGAGATGCCATCATCCCTTTGCATTTGTTTTGTTTATTTCTGCCTCCTCTCCTTCCGTTGCGTACGAACCCCACGCGACCAACCCAACCCAACCCAACTGCTATGTCGCTTGCTTCTACGAGTCTCCTCCTCCTCCACCTCCTTCTTGAGCTAGCCATGCCTACCAAGCATGGTTGGCTCGTAAGCAGTGGGAGGGGACCGATGGCCTTCGCCGTGGTTTTTTCTGCTTGTTGTAAGTATTTAATTTATCCTCCACCCGATGCCTATTTCTAACCTCTCTTGCATATCTTCGGCTGTGTGCACAGGATCATGCCGCGACATGTTTGTTCACACAAGATTGGGTGCGATGTGAGCTGATTGTTGTCATGGTGTGGTTCAATCCTGGATAGAGCCGATTTCGTGATCAATTTGGGTGTTGGCACATCTCAGCTCGAACTCTGAGGCCTATTGGTTCGATTGTCCACTATTCACTGTTATAATATTCATCCAATAGCTTGAGCCTCAGGTTTGCAAGTTCCTTGTCATCTGGTCCTTCTATATCGAGCATACAAGCTTCTGTTTCCGGGATTTTCGAGAGGGTTCCCGAATCGCTTTGCAATATCGAGAGGCTTCCCGAATTGCTCTGCCCAGCCGATTGGATCGACTGTTTGTTTTCGGGGGTGCCTTGCTATAGAAGTCCTGCTATTTCGGCTCCTGATACTCGATTATCGTATTTGATCTACATAATCCGGTGCTTGCATCCTTCGACTTGAAGAGACTTGAAGAGTTCTGTCGCTGAAGTCTTCAAGTCCTCGGACTTTTGGGCCCTACAATTTATTGCTCTACATATAGGCTATTTATTGGCTCGAGTCTTCCAAAATCTCCTGAATGATCCTTCCCATCCTCCTTGTTAAACTCCTCTTTGAACCTATAATCTCTGAATTCCCAACATTCTCCCTTCTCACTAATAATTTACAAGATTATAATGTTTCCAACACAAGCTTGCCCTCAGCAATGGGGCCTACGAAATCTAGTAGATTGACGTGTGCACTCTTGAAGTTTACACTTCAAAAGACTTTGAGTGTTCCCATGTCTTACCTTATATAAAGATAGTAATATATATATATATATATATATATATATATATCTTTCATGTCTGAATGAAATAATCTTACCCATGCCTATAAATGGTGAACGCAAAGCTTCATATCAAAAAAGTTGTGCACTGCTTTGCGCAATAGAAAGTCCAAAGGGACTTTGGGACCATCATGGGGACTGTATCCATACATACACATTCACTCGTTTAGAAAGTGATTATTCCGCCCATGATTTGAAAGCAACTTGGTCCAGGTTTGCTTGGGTTCCCGTTGTCAGACCTCCTGACCAACAGTACGAATTATACAAGTGGGCAAATTTATGGACTGCCACGTCTTGGCCACCCGTGGCTAATCAATCCTAGTCGACAACTGCTTTACTAGTGGGATCATATTCCCTCTGCTACACGACTGCTCGCAGAGGATTTTATCTTTCACTCTGCGGGATCAGTCAAATCCGTATGTTCGGCAAGTTCCGAGAAAGAGAACGAATGGCGGAAAAGCTGTATCTTGTCGTCTCTGTGTCAGACACCCTCGTACTTATTCAAGTTGACCATCACCTCAAAGAATGTCACAAACACTTGAATTTTCTATTCTGGATCTGGATAATGTTGCAAATCTGAACGACCCCTTCCCAAGTTGAGTTAGTTTGGACTCGGTTAGTAATTGCAGCGTTACATTATAGGGAAAATATTCCTCCTGTCCCGGACACACTTTCTGAAGAGGAAGGTGTTATGTACCACTTGAACTCTCCACACTTCTCGTTTCGAAACGCACTTTCCGGAGATCGGTGAATCTTGGGGTTACCTGAATTTGTTGTACTGTGCATTTGGCTCTTAACAAACTCGAGCATCTCAGAAAAGTCATGGAGTACGATGCCAACAGACTCCTGCCCACCCTTTCTACAAATGGAATTCACATAAGCGTAGCCTTACAGATATGGTAGAGACGAGCTCTTGACTTTACAGGTTTCGTCTATTCACTTGAGAATTAAACTGCTCCGAAGTCGGGTTCGTTCTCATCGCCTGTTTCAAAAGTGAATTGCATCATTTGGAAGAAAAGGGGATCTGACAAAGTGGTGGACGGTAGTTGGTTATCTTCAGGTAACTAACCAGGCGTAGCTCGATGACAAGTTGAGGTGTGTGACGAGGAGGTGACAGAGAACGTGTGAGGGAGTTGATCCAAGCAGCTTTGCGTGTGTATAGAACGCGGTCGGGAAGTGGGAACCTTGTATTTACTTACCACCACCCCCACCCCCCCCCCCCCCCCCCCCAGCACAATAACACAGTACTCCTAATCCTGTACAACCCTTCCGAAGCATGTCAGCTCAACTTGATCCAATTGGTGATTATGCTCTTCACGACTTGCTGGGAACTTTGATACAAAACCTTCCCTTACGCACAAACATACATACATACATACAATTTCATCGGGTTTCAAATCTCCTCTATGCATATACAAGAAGTTTCTCTCGACACGCTGAATCATCGTCCTCTTCACTGCACTACACGACGTCGAAGACCGACGGATCTCAGCGCATAAACATGCGGCTCAAGTCAATCCTCCCTCCCCCCAATACAAACTACAGCTCGGGTTTGAACAGTCGGGGACTGGACAAGATGGGAGGAAACGACATCGACTACACTCCCCATCATGCGCCTAACAAGTCATGCAGATTTTGCACCTCCTCGCTGGAACAAGAGGAAGAATATGCAAGTTCCACATACGAGTCTGCGTTCGAGATGACTTGTGGCCCGAGCAAGTCCTCGGTGTTCATACCCGATCGGCACTTTTGGACAACGCAACTATTCAGCTCCGAGTCAAGAACAGAACCTCGGGGCACTGTCCGCATCTGCATCTTCCATGAACTCCATGCAGAATTTTGTGCATGAAAGACCTACCCAGCCTGGTCAGCAAAGTAGGTCCTTCATAGAACTACATTCTTCTAAATTCTTCCACAGTTGGCATGTCGGTCTTACGAAGGACCTGCATGTACAAGACCACTGTTTCCCGAACTGTCCACCCCCCAAGGCATCTTCGATATCTGCGAAAATGCCACATCTTGGGAATTTTCCTTCCTCTGATGATGATGACCGTAGCTCTGGGAAGATGTTGGGGGCGAAAATTCGTCGATTTGGCCCATAGCGCTGACATGTAGCACACGTGTGTGGGCACCGCAACCCTTGGTTGCCCCAGTCCCTGACCTGACCTGACCTGACTTCACCTGACGTCACTGGGTTGAGTTCGGCGTGACGCACAATGCGTGTTCCGACAAGTCGACGCAGTTCCTTCGTTCCGTCCTTCGTTCCCGACGTCGTCGCTGTGCCTGTGAAACCACGGGGAAACGTGGTAGATCCTTCCCAATCTATACCCCCAGTGAGGGAAACCATCCTTCCGGAATCGCGAACTCGGAACATTGGAACATTCGCGAAGATGGAAGGATCGCGAACTTGGAACATTCCCGTGCTCGTTTCTTATTATTATTTTTATCATTTGTTCTTTATATCCTTTTGCAGTGTAAAGATATTTGTTCGTTACAATAATTACTGCTATCGCCACTGGTTTACTGCTTTTTCTGACTCATTTCGGCAATACTTCTAAATGTTTCTAGCATTCGTGGTATCTCAAGCAAGACTCAACACCCACCCTTTCTCTGGTATTTTCTGATATAGATGCGACTGAGATAGAACAAGAGCTCAGTTTAATTTCGGTGGACGATTTTCTTCGGTAAGATGATTTATAAGAATGTTCAATAATAAAATAACAGGGAGAAACCTGTAAAAGTACACAGTCTCGTTTTACTCACTGCTGATATCTGATATAAGTGCAGCTGAAGTCCATTTTGACTTCACTACAATTGATAGAGATTCTCCAGGGCTCATTTTTCTCTCGCTATAATGACGGATTTAAATGTCTTATCATCATTTGTTTTTTTAAATCGAAGTAGCTTAAGGGAGATTACAATGAATATGGAAACCAATTCAGATCCAATGGTGCCTGCTAGGAGCCCATAACTGCGAGAGGTGATGAGGCACTTTACATAAAATGCCCTTATCACATCACATGAAACTAAATTTAACCGTTGTAGGCAAAATGCCAAAAAAGATTACCGTATGCAGGAGTTAGATCATAAATTCATTTGTACACTGGTTGAACTGAGACGCACGGATCCGCAACACTGATGATTTACGGATTAACTTGTGAGACACGCCGAAATATCGGGCCGGTGGCACTCTTTTCTGTTTTTCCAATAATCATCTGAAATTCTTGAATGTTAGAGGAGGAGGCGAAAAATGTAACCCTTT